TCACAAACAAGATTTATGTTCGAAATACATCATTTTAAATGCTTGCTCAATCTTTAGAAGTCCATTATAGAAATGTTCTTGGAATTATCACTAAATCTGATCAGCATTCTATATTTCCATAACTCTCTTGTAATTCAATGAATAAAACAACTGTTTTCATATTATTTTATATGACAAAGAAGCCCAAACTTATTGATAGATTTTAAAATGACTTTGTACTGTGTACTATGTTATTGGATTAAGTAGTAGGATTATTTGGTATAATTAAAATTATAAAACCAATTATCATTTAAGAATTTTGGAAAAAAAGACTAGTATAACTGGTTTGTGAATGATTTTTTAAGACATGCATACATAAGATAATTAAACTAAACTGTATGTCACAGGCATATGTTTAATATTGCCAGTTTATGAGTTATGTGTCAATAATGCCTTTCTATCATCATGGCTTTTGGAAAAGTAAATAGTTGACTTTAAATTTGTCTAATTATTTCAGCATAGGCAAACTTGTATTTGCAATTGATGGGAGACAATACTATTTATGGTAATTTGTGTTTACAGATAGAGATATAAGGGAAAACTCAGAGGCTGATGCCCATCTTTGAATGAAAACTTTTTAAAATGAGAAAAATTGCAACTGATTGTCTGTTAATGTACTTTATTTAGACTTCCAAATAGCTTTCTAGTCTTTAAGCCAGGCCCTCCTCACAGAAGGCTATTCATAAAACAGGTTACAAAAGAAAAATTAAATCTTATCTGAGATTAAAGATTTATGACAAAGAGGAAAGTAAAGAGTAAGAGTAAAAAGATAATTCTCAAAGTGATGACAGTTAATAATGATGTTCCCTGGAGACCTGCACCAGTGACTTGTGTCGTCATTATGCATGCTAATAACAGTAGATAACAGCGAATAACAAGCAACTGAAATATGCTCTCAGTACATAATGACAATATTTAATTTTCCTAAAATATGGAGCAATTGTGGAGAATTTTAAGAAGCTATAATAATCTAGCAATTGAAGAACAGAAAGGTAGAGGAAATGTAATGTAAAGTGCAATGCATTACAAACCTAAAGAAACAATTTAAATTACTTGTATATCCTGATGGATTCTGTAACCTCTGAGGATATTATTTTGGTCAACTCAATGAAGAAGAGCAATTGACTCTGAATAAATCCATGCTACAACATATTGAAAGCATAACTAAAAAGAGTAACAATATGAAATACAAGGTGATTGCAACGTGGTTTCTGTTGTAGGTAGGAGTACTGCCCTTTTAGAAAATGAGGTCAGTTTAATATTTTTATAACATGGAAAAGGTCCAAAGGAAATAAATTAATGAAATAATTTAGAAGTCAGTTAAAATGCAAACAATTAGCCCAGATACAGGTATTCCTTTTTCTTCTTTTAAATCAATGGTTCGCTCAAGAAAAATTGCTGCCTAAGTGTGGGAGCTAGTTTATAAATCTTTATGAATGGGAACCGTAGGAGAGAAGAAAGCATATAAAACAGGGACACTTGCAAATATGGTAAACAGAATAATGGAAAGAGTTAGGATTTTACTGAAGGTCACAAAACAATCGAATAATAGGCTGGGAAGGAACTTGGGTCTCCTCCCTTCCAGTCAGCACATTGACAATTACCAGATGCTTTTTGCACTCACTTCCACTGAAAAAATTAGTAGCAGAAAAGCTCGTCAAGTGTTTCTGTTCATAGTCTTAGAAAGTCAATTTTTACAATATTCTTTTAAATGCAAACTTAAGTTTCTTAATTAGGCAATGAAGTTATTAGAATGCATAAGTAGAAATATGTATTAAAACAGAAATAGTTTATTTTTGATACAAACTGTCGACAGATATTGAATATACTTAATATAGATTATAGTGACCCAAATTTTCAGATAGCCAGGTTTGAACATTGTAGCATCTCTGTACTGACTGGTTAGAATGTAGGTTTAACACTAGACAAACAAAGAAACAACTTATTTCTCCTACTGTTTAGGAAATACAAATTACTATTCAAATAAAGTTTACTGATGATTTTTATAAAATTAAACGCAAAAGATTTATCTTTGCTGTATTTCAATGACATGAAATGCATCTGAAAATCTAAAAGATCCCTGCGGCAAACAATTGCCAGCTAATCTCCAAAAATAAAAATTATATTTTTGATAATTTGTCCTATGTACTATCCTAGAAACTTATTAATTCATTCAAACAATTAGTACTTTTTTTTTTTAAATACTGTACCTATCACACTCAGGCTGTGTGAGGTATCATGAAGCAACAAAAAACTCTGTTCCTGACTTTGGAGTTCTAAGAGAGCAAGTTAAGAACCACTAACACACAAGTCCACTTTGGGAAATCTCTGTCTTTGCCTGTTCATGGATGTCCCCCTACCCTCGTGGCTATTGTTCCACTTTGCCAAAACTTTTCTTAATCTCAACATTGAGTATATTGTGATCAAATCACTCTTCTCTACATCATACATAACTCAATTTTCTTTTTTTAAAAAAATCTTTCTACAGCATTTTTGCCAACTGTACATTGTTAATTTTAGTTTTGACTAAAATTGAGCCATGCATGGCAGAAGACTTTATGTGGTAAATTGTACTCCAGTTGAGGGTACTGCAGACTAAAGATAACACGTGGTTATGAGGAATTACCCAAATTAACAAATTGGTTCCTAAAGTTCAGAAAATTGAGAAAACTCAAATGATGTGTAATTAACAACTAATATTTAGAAGTAAAGTCACAGAATTGGACAAACACTTAGAATCCAATGACAGTATTAACACTTAGGTTAGGTGAGGAATTAGATGCTATCACAGGGGCCTCAGGGGGAGGATCCAGAAATAGTATTAGGTTCCTAGTGCCAGTCTCTGTGGGTACATGAACACACTTTTAGAGAAAGTCTATATATCAACTGTGCACTAATTTCCTATATTTATATTTAGATGTGTTGAGTGTTAAAGGTATGGATGTCTGATAGTTCTGATATGTATATTAATGTATACTAATATGTATATTAATGACCTTGGCAACTTCTGTGATCTAGCAGGGCTGGCCTTGTTATGTTTCCATTTAATAGGGGTGAACTGATCCCCAACAAGATCAAAGAATTCACTCAAGGTAAAAGCTAGAACTAAACCCAGATCTTCACAGTAAATATTTTCCATAGTGAACTCCAACCTGTTTAAGAACTTTCTGAGGAAATCTTGTATAATTTGGCACTTATAGACAGACGTAAGCTAGAACTAATCATGGATTTGATAAGATCTAACATTGCAAGATGAGTGTTCACACTAGTATATTCCATTAAAGCCACAATCAGGTAGGCAGCTTAAGGCGAATTAACTTTCATGTGCTATATTTTGGGCAAAATTAAGCTCTAAGTGATTGTTTTATCTTCTGAAGTTAGACATGACCCAAGGGAATATTGTTGATAAAAGTTTAGACTTACAGTTCAATATTCCTTTGAGAATACTTCTTTAAAATATGCTTTTAAATAACGTTTGCGGACTCTCTGAATAGTAATATCCATGATTCATCCTTGCAACATTCCCCTGAAGGGTGATGCCACAAAGGAATTTAGCAGGGTAACTGAGAGCAAATAACCTGAGTTTGAATCAAGGCCAGTCACTTAGACTAACTGCGTGATTCTGGGCAAGTCACACAACCCCTCTGTTCTTCATTTGCCTCATTTATTGTGATACTACTCTCAGGAACTCTTTGCCCATATTAAATTAAGCTGGAAAGGGTCTAGGAAAATGCTGTGGAGAACCAGGAAATGTGTCAATACATAACCACTTCTGACTTGTGTCAACTGTACACATAGTGAATTATACATACATACTTATAGTGACTTGTGTCATTGTGACTAGTTTAGTTGTTGCTCCAGTCATTTGTAAGTCCCCTGGATTCCAGAGATCATGTTCATCTTTCTGAGGTTTCTCTCTATACAAAATGCCAATAGATTTGCATCAGTCATTTGTTAAAGTATACAGAATAAAAATGGAATGTGACAAAAGTGTGCCCGACTGTTTAAAGGCAAAATGGTTTGTGTTGATGTCACAAACATTGAGCGTTTCTTTTCTTTAAATCAATTTTACTTAAACTTTCAATTTATTTAACTTACAATCAAATGCACCAATATTAAGAATATAGTTTGATGAACTATGACAAATGCATGCACCAATGTCACCACTATGTCAATTAAGATATAGAATATTGCCATTGTCTCCAAATTTTCCTTGTGCCTTTCTGCAGTCACTCCTTCAACCCCATTCCGACCACTGATCTGCTTCCTTTCATTATATATTAATTTTGCCTGACAATTTATTTTTTATTTTTAAAGCAAGAATTGTTTTCATATTCCAACCTTAATTATCTACTTCTACATATCAACTCATATTAATATGCAAAAGAACTCATATTAATATGCAAAAGAAAACCCACATATGATGCACCAATTATTCTGGGGATATGGGTGGATTTTACTTGAAATTTTGTTGAAAATAGAAAACACAATCCTAACCTGCAGACCAGATAGAACATATCCCTACTGTACACCCTGAGGCATAGCAAAGTGAGGACGGAGGACTGGCATGCCCCTTTCCATGAACCCAGGTCTCCTGATGTCTTTTGGGTCCTTTGTTCTTTAGGTAAATTTATTAGTTAACTTTAAAAAAAAAAAAAAGACTGTATCCTGGAATCAGGTGGCAGAGAGGATCCCTAAAACTTACTGAGTTCTGGATGCGCTCTTAGGAGGGACACTCCAAAGGTGTCTGGAGAGCTTTGGCTTTTAGGCACTGACTGACATTTAGTGTAGTGTGGCGCCTTGTGGGCTGCGCCTGGGGGCAAAATGATCCCCTAGAGGGTCTGCAGCGGTGCTCAGTGTTGGGGTTGGCGGTCACTAGGCAGGGAATGGAGCCCAGGTGGTGTGGGGAAAGGGGATGGAGGCCGGACGTGGCCAGCAGACTCAGGGCTTGCTACACACACTCACACACAAGCGGCCGGAAAGTATCTGGAGGAAGCTGGCGCGTCACAGGGGACGGAGCCGGGCCCCTGACGCACCCGCCCAGCAGCGTCCGGCCCCGGGTACAGGGCCCGCACACCCCGCCGCGCCACCGCCACCGCCACCGCAGCCACCGCCGCCACCGCCAATGAAACTCCTCCCGCTCTTAGGTGAGTGCTCAGTGCCCCTGGTCACCGAGGCTGCTGGAGGGGCCAGTCACTTACAGGGAACGGTTTGGTTTTTGTTTGTTTGTTTGTTTTTATGAGGTAAAGCTCACAGGGCAAGTGGATTTGGTGACGCAGGACTTCTCAGGATGTTTTTCCCTTGGCCTTTCCACTCTAGAGTGGAATCTTCAAGGCCCAGGGACCCTTAACCTTTTTATTTCTCTTAATGAAGTCCCCAAAGTCCCTAAAGTCTCCGACTTTGACCTTCATTCTCTTCTCCCATCAGGAAACTTGGGTTATCCAAAACATTAACACCTGTGGGAGGCTTCCTGGCATTTTAAGGGGATTGCCAGCTCAGACTTGGGGTTCATTTAAGATAGCATTTTGATGATGCTGTGCAGAAATATAATAAATCACGTCTCTGAAGGTGAAATAATTCTGGTTTAGACAGTATTTAAACTAAAACCTTTGTGAGACTAGGATTTAGAGTCAAATGTTTAAGAATCTTTTGGTACCAGATAAGGACACTTTATCTTAGATGACTGTTTCCAGAACAATGACTTGCATGATTCATAACTGTTGATCCTCCAAACTTCTCTCCAGAAGGCCTGGAACAACAATAAAAAAAGGAACCTCCTGTGCTTTTCCTTATCTTTTCCTATCAGTCCACAAAATATAATTTCCAACTTTATTTTTAATAACTGAAATAAAGTCTTGTTCTATGATTTGTTTCTTTTTCATTGGTCATGTTTGTGCATTTTCCCATTTCTGGAAACTCAATCTTTGAACAACACGTTGAGGTGTTTATTTTTGTTGTTGTTGTTGTTGTTGTTAAATTTCTTCTAATGGAAGAAAATGTAAAAGAAATTTTATTATGAAAAAGGCAGGACTGAAAACAATCTCTAGAACACAGAAACAAACAGCAATTGCATTTGTCTTCCCAGATGGTTAGATATCATCTTAAAATAACAAAGATTTAAATTTGAAAAGACTCAAATACTCAATTTACCTTCATTTCTGCACAGAATTACTCCCAGAAAGGGAAATTGCTCTACAATCAGGCAGTTACCTTTAAAAGTGTCTCACCTGAGGGTGAAGGGTAATACTGAATCACTATGGTACACTGATCTGGGAAAGCAGTTTTTATTATAAAAGCTGTGTTGTTTATTACATTTTGGCTTTGTTGATATTTACTTGACAAAAGTTGAAATTGGGGGGAAAAGCTTTAATCTTTTTGCTTACTTCCTTTTTTGCTTTTATTTAGCTAAATGCTCCTTTGGGAAATTTTCATAATCCATTTATCTAAGTGGAAAAAAAGAAGAGTATTTGTATTTTATTGTACTCTGACTCAACAATGGAGGGAGGTGTTTGTTTTTCTTTTTGAAAAGGTATATTTCTCTATTTTATTTAGTGGGTTTTTCCACTTTGTTGAATTGTTCCTATGCTCAAAATTGCACCAAGACACCTTGTCTCCCAAATGCAAAATGTGAAATGCGCAGTGGAATTGAAGCCTGCTATTGCAACATCGGATTTTCAGGAAATGGTGTCACAATTTGCGAAGGTAAACAGTCTTTATTACTTCTATTGGATTATTATAAAGATTAAGTCAGAATGTGATTTTTCTGTCGTCAAGAAGTTAACTTGTTTTATGTTAGACTGTTTGATTTCATACTATTTTTGAAAAGCTTAGGTAAATTTAAACTTCTATATTAAGATTTTTACTCGATTATTGATTTTTAATGACTTCAAGCATTTCTTCTTTTTGATGTGAATATTAAAGACTGGCCTTGAATTTAAGCTGGACAACCCAGGTTCAAAGGGCAGAGTCAATAGCTTTGGGAGCAAAAGAACAGAATTCATGAAGTTCGGGCTATCTTGCTATGAGTTGCCCTTGTTTAGGACTGACTAAATTTGAGGATCATACTAAGAGATCTGAAGTTTTCTCATGTACCCCCTGTGAGTGGGAAATGAAGAGAGAGAAGAAAGCTTTTTGAAAAGACATTCTTTTCTGAAACAGTAGATTCTATTCATAGATCTTTATGCTAGAGCCCAGAGAGAATGCTAGAAAAGATCTTTCCAGGGTACTGTTTAGCCCATTAACTCCATAAATGAAACACCATCTGATAATCACATGTAAGAGATTTCTTGTCTGTGTTCTTTCTTCACCATCACTATCACTACTACCTTCTCCCTCAAGTCTCACACAATCTTTCTTTATTCATTTTCAGTAGAAGCTAGTTGTAACTGGCTTCTTCTTTCTCCTACACAGAATCAAAATTTTGTGTAGGAGAGAAAGAGAAAAAAAAAAAGTTCCAAGTCATAGAAATTAGTTTTAAAATATAATTAAATGGCAAGTTCAAATTAGAGCTTTGTGGTATTGTACTCCAAAATGTATTTAAGATAACATGAACTTTTTCTAATTAAACCAGGATATTGTACATTGTTAATATTGCATGTGTTTGCTGATAGCATAAACAAATTATATCTTGTGATTCAATTTGATAGGCTCTTTAAAAAGATTAAATACGCAGTATAGTAAGACCAAACCTCATCATAATTAGTTTAATGTTTAAAAAATGTACAGCAAAGCTGCAGTTTGCTTAATGATGCATTAGATCAGGCGTTTCTGCTTGTACATACAGCCAGAATTTGTGATATAATATTCTACGAGCGCTACAAAATTCTTTCCACAAATAATCGTAGATTTTTATTGTGTAGTTAATTGAATGGCATTATGGCAAGTTGAAAGTTGAGTCATCTTCAAAATATTGCATCTCACAAATTAGTGTGCTTTCCCACTAATCCTTACAAATTGTGCCATAGTACTTCATAACCAGCATTTCCTTTCTGTTATTTATATACTTTTATACTTTTCAACTGTCATGATTATCAGCAGTAACATCAATAATTTTTCACAATTTGGACCTTCAGCAACCAATCAGCTTATATTCATGTTTTTAATGATTTCTTTTACAAACACATCTTCCATTATCCAGTGCAGTTGGTTTCCTTCCCCACAAACCTGCATAAGTCAATAATCAGCCAAAGAACAGAAAATAGTTTTCATTGAAGAAAAAAGTACTTCAAGACATTTGGCCTGTGATTTCTTTTCATACAAAACACAATTTGTAAGGGGAATTTTTTTAAGTTCATGTTAAACTTAAATACCCTTTCTATTTAAGGAAAGTTACATATTCACTTGTTTTAATATTTGTTATCTGAGGATTGTAATGTCCTCTTAAAACTGTTCCAACGGTTGTTTTCATCTTTTTCACCTTTTATTAATTCCCTAATCGATGTTTGACATATTTTTAGTAGGTAGACTCAATATGCTCTTTAGAATTAAATTTAAAACATTATATTCCCAACTGCTGAATAGTCTAGGTTGTATTTTGAGTTTGAAGGCTTTTGTTGGCTTTTTCATCTCTAAAGAGATTCCCCACTTTTCCTGTCTTTCATCAAGATTGGTATTGGGTCCACAAGACATGACTAGACAGAAGTTTAGCAATAAAGAATGCCTACATCTTGAGAAATAGAACTTGTTTCCTTTTTGGAGTCATTAACATCACTACCATTTTCATCATAAAGTTTAGCTCTTTCAGTGAGAGACACCAAATAAACATATACCCCAACCTCACTAAATGTACTACAAGAGCTAGTTTTGAAGAAATCATTTATAATTGGGATTACATAGTCCCATAGAAATAAGTTTTAATGGAAGTGAATTTATTTCATTTAATTCTACTTTTATTGAACAAATATTTATTGACTACTTTCATCATCATCATCATCATCATCATCATCATCACCATCATCATTAGAATAGCTAATATCTACTCTGCACTGAGTCTAAGATATTAATTAGGACAACACTTTATTTATTATTTCCATTCTATCTATGAAGAAATAGAGTCTTAAAAAGGTTAAGTGAACAGCTCAAGTGATACAACAAAATAGTGGAGCCAATATTTGAACCTAAGTCTATCTGATTGCACAGCCTGTACTCTTAATCAATATGTTCAACCATAAGGCCTTTGCTTAACAGATACTGCTGATAATGCCCTTGGATTGAAATCATAAATAAGAAATTGGCCTTGACTTCCAGTGTATATAGTAGAACTATTAGAGAACTGTATTAATATTATAATGCAGTTTTTTTAAAGGTATTGGTGTAGGTATATTTGAGATACACAACTGATGCAGAGAAGTTTTCCACATCCAGGAGACATTTAAGCTTTGGACTGAAGAATAAATCAGATTTATCAATATTTACAATGTGCCAAAAACAAGGTAGGCCAAAGGAATCAGAAGTAACAAAGGCCAAGAAGTTGAATATGTGGGGTATTTTTAAGGAGTTCCAAATATTTAATGCCAGATATATATCACAGGGTATATTAGTTAAGGGATCAGCAGGAATAAATTCAGAATGTTAGGGGTATGGGCTTTATTCTTTTGACAAAGAAGAGCCATTGGCTGGTTTGAAGTAGTTGAGTGACATGATAAAACCATGTGTATTAGGAAGATGACCCTGTGAGGTAGAGTAAAAATGAATTAGCAAGGGTTTGCCAACCAGAGGCTATTTTACCCAAACTATAAAAACAATAGTACTTCCGATTTGTACAATGAATTGTAGTTTATGCCATTCTACCTAGTATATTCTTAATTTTCATGTCAGGCTTTAAACAGGACAGGTGCTGTCCTTTACTTACAAGCACCATTATGACTAGTTGTAACTAGCTTCTATTTAACTCTATGCTATGGCCTTTTGCATGTGAGAGAAATAGGACTCTGAAAGCTTAAGTGAGTTTCCTTGTGTCCCAAAACCAAGTCATAGAGCTAGGACTCAAACCTTGGGATCTCAACCTTTTAAAGACCGGCATCAATGTCAGCATATTACTAATCACCTGACATAATTAGGATAGTACAGGGTTCTAAACAAAATTGGTAGAACAGTATCATTTTAATAGTAATTTAATACTTTACCAGCTTTATTGGAATATTAATGGGAATTCACTTGCATATGTGTTTTTGTGCTGATGTTTGAGGGTATTTTAAAAAAGCACGTGAAGTTCTTATAGAAATTTTAGGGTACATTTAAACACTTTTGAAATTGTTGATAATAGTTAACCTTAAAAATTAGATTTAGATTTAGTTTTGAAATATGTATTACTATTGCTATTCCTTATGCTTTTCAGTACATGTTTGGTTGCCCTTTGGTGCACAACTCTCATTAATCTAGTGAGTGAGAGATCCCTCCTGCCTCAGGTAATTAGGATAATATTAAAAGAAAATAGGAGCTGGTGCCGTGGCTCACACCTGTAATCCTTGGGAGGCTGAGGCAGGAGGATCGCTCAAGGTCAAGAGTTCGAAACCAGCCTGAGCAAGAGAGAGACCCCCGTCTCTACTAAAAATAGAAAGAAATTAATTGCCCAACTAAAAATATATAGAAAAAATTAGCCAGGCATGGTGTCACATGCCTGTAGTCCCAGCTGCTTGGGAGGCTGAGACAGTAGGATTGCTTGAGCCCAGGAGTTTGAGGTTGCTGTTTTCTAGGTTGATGCCACAGCACTCTAGCCTGGGCAAAAAAGTGAAACTCCGACTCAAAAAAAAGAAAAGAAAATAGGGAAGCAAGGTTGTAAAGGTGTTGAGAGAATCTTTGTGTACATCTAAAACAAGATTTTGCTTGAGTTGGAATACACTGAGCTGGGAGAAGTTAGAGGCAGGAGTTAAGGGGAGAAAGTAGTTCAGTGTATGCATGGGTGAGAGATGTGTGGAAGAGATAGCCTCCCTACTCTCAGATAAACTCATTAAGTGAGTCTGTGTTCTTGGAAATTTCATGCAATCAGAGTGGGTAGGATAAAAAACAATCGCCCAAGGTGAGGATTGGATGGATGGGGAAGGATGTAATTGACAGCTTGTATTACATGTATAAAAAATCTTTTTTATAGCTTGGAACATGACTGTTGTGAAACAACATCACAAAGAAAAGAATAAAGCCTTGATGCCTATGCTTAGGGTGACACACTACATTTATAATAAAAAACAGTTTTTTATCAATGTCTAATACCCATATATGTGCTTGTAGAACTCAACTGGATCAATGTTATAGTGAACTAGAGAGCAATATGATACTGATAAAGGTAGAGGAAACAATTTCACAATAGCGATCTAAGAGTTTGGGAGGAGATAACCTAAGAATTCAGAATGTGGGAGAAAGATTAATTAAAACAATCCACTAACATGATTCTACCTGGGATAGAATAAGTGCTGAGGACATGTGATTGCTTGCATAATACTTTGTTCTTTTATGTTAATAGTAATAAAGAAGATGCTCATCAGAACAGGCAAACCACCAGGCATCAGAATAAATCGAAAGCATACAAAATGTATGTGTGTGTGTGTGTCTGTGTGTCTGTGTGTGATATGCCTATCAGTTAACACAATTAGCTACACTGTCTAAACTGTGTCTTACAAATAATAACCTCAGTTTTACACATTTAATGAAGTGATTTTTCCATTTCCATAGTAGAAATATAAACAGAAAAATCACCAACTGCTGTT